AACTGGCATGGAAGTAGAAGAGAAGTCGGGCTATATCATAGTCAAATGTCAATCATTCAGGTCTGCGGATGTCACCCATGGCGAAGTGGTGATAGCTTCTGGCATCCGCATGTCATGAGGGAGGAAGCCGGCAGGGGTCCGCTGGAAGGCGCACCACTGACGAGACCCAGAAGGTTGAAACACTGGTGTCTGCTACTTTTCCAGAAAAGCCTAAGCCTGGCGATTGAGAGCGGCCATGATGAGTTATCTGAAGAATTGTGTAAGCAGCAAATGTCAATGCAAACCATTCTCTTGATCGTGAACCTTGATCAAAGGCGGTGACTGAACGTCCTCTTCAGCCTCCGTGTAGTTAATGTGTCTGTGCCTTCGCGCACGAACCTGTGTAGTTGTGTGACTATTGGAATATCGCACTCCTGAACCGCATAGTCTACTATGACTTAAACAAATGTCATCCAGTTTTTGAGTGTCACTGTGAAGCACTCGTCTTGTGAAGGAGTCGCGACGCGCAATCTTAATGTGGACCGCGATTCCAAATGAAGTAAACTGGCCAATTCGATCACCTGGACCGTAAACGGTGAAGCAGATAGGCGACGACCCACGAATTCGCGTGTTTTGTGTGGGTGAACTTATTCAGCTAATCGATTATTGGATCAGTGTAGGCTCTCATGACTCCACCAAACACAAGCCAGCTTTAATGGCCTACTGCTGCCATTTGTTATCAAGGACAGGGGAGTAGGGTGACTAGACGATGTTCGGGCCACATTTTGGTCACGCGAATAAAACAGTACTGTGCAAGCAGTGGGCGATAGTGCAAGCCCTTCACTTGATCATGGGAGTCGTTTACCTCGGTCAAAGCCGGTGACCCTGATTCCCCTGCCCTTCTATGGGCCTTCGCGTATTTTGTATGGGTGTGTGGGTAACCTATTCAGCTGCACCATTATTGGATCAGTGGAGGCTATCATGACTCTGCCAAACCCGGCCTCGCTTTATTAGCTTTGTGCTGCACGAAACGATCAAAATGAGCAACGAGCGACAATCGCCCACTGCTTGCACAGTACTGTTTTATTCGCGTGACCTCAATGTGGCCTGAACATCGTCTAGTCGCCCTACTCCCCTGTCCTTGATAACAAATGGCAGCAGTAGGCCATTAAAGCTAGACTGGGTTTGGTGGAGTCATGATAGTCTACACTGTTCCAACAGTCTAGCAGTTGTACAGGTTCGCTCACATATCCACACAAAAGAAGCGAATGCCCATACGGAGAATACTCATCATCATCACCATCATACACGTTAGCCAGAGGTGAGGAACACCTCAGCTACTGTGCCGTAATACACAAGAAAAAAGGAGAAAAAAAGCAACTGATGCAAGCCAGCTGAGCTACCGGTAACGGATGAGCATCGTTCTGGTAAGCTACCAGCCGGCTACTATGCATCAAAAAATGGCTATGCAAAATTATATAAGGCTAAATAATGAGATCGTGGTTGGAGGGGGAGGCTAAGAGGGATGGGGTGGAACAAAGAAACAGCACAAATGCCACTGAGGTCGGCTCCTTGCCATATCAGCAAGTATGTCCAAACAAACGTGTTCATCGTCTTTTGGACCCCAACCAGGGAGCCGAGACGCTCCAACCGAGGCCAGCTCAGAAGTGAGGGCCTTCATTCCTCTCGACCAGGTCATCGCTTGGCCACCCCTCCTCTTCATCCATCCACACCCCCGGCGCGCAAACAACGCACATCGCGGGAGTAGGTGGGCTGGCATGCGTAACACGTGGCCGAGCCATCGGAGCCTGGTGCGTGAAATAACGGTGCTGAGCGAATCAGTTCCTTTTCCTGGGCCGTAAACAAGGCGTCGAACACGCTCGCTGCTCACGCGGTGTTCCCACCAGATGTGAGCTAAATTGCGAAGGCACCGGTGGTCGAACGTAACTAGCCTCTTCAGGTCCGTTGCTTTAAGGGGCCAGGTTTCACAACCGTACAGTAGGGTCCTAGTGATCGAGTAGGCCAAGGTTCGCTTCAGTGGGAATCGCAGTCCACACTGAGATTGTGCGCCGTAACCCACTCACAAAAAGACGAGTGCTTCAAAATGACCCTCAAAAACTAGATAATATTTGTTTAAGTCATAATAGACTGTGGGACTAGGGAGTGTGACATTACAATAGTTACACAGGTTCATCCCCACTGCTCTTCAACTTCGCAATCGAAGACGTACTGTTGAGTGCTCTAGAAGGTTTCCAACATTTTGGCCTAGAGCTTCTACCAGGAGAGCGCGCGACCGACTTAGATTATGCTGATGATATCGGGTTGCTTGATGACCATCCTCAGGGTATGCAATTCATTCTGGATCGTTTGGCGGTTGAAGCATCTAAGTATGGCATGAGCTTCGTCCCATCGAAGTGTCAAGTAATGCTCAAGGACTGGCTTACACCTGCTCCCATGCTCACTCTCGAAGGTGCACAGCATGAACAGGTAGATAGTTTCGCTTACCTTGGGGTCTGTGTTTCTGCTGACGGCACTATCGGGAAAGAAGTTTCTCTCCGCATCGCCAAAGCGCGATCAGCATTTGTCAATCTGAGGCACTTGTGGTATCGTCGCGACGTCTCATTCTCGCTTAAGGGCAACGTATCTGCTCCCAAAGCGTTATTGCACGGGAGCGGATCCTGGCCCATTCCCGTGGAAGACATGCGTTGTCTTTCTGCCTCCGATAATGGTTGCTTAAGGAGGATTGCTCGTGTTTGGTGGCAACATCGAGTTAACAGTAATGACGTTTGACATCGCATCTTGGGGAATGCGAGTATTCCCCTCAACAAAATGGTTTTGCGGCACCAGTTGAGATGGCTCGGTCACGTCCTACGCATGACACCTGAGCACCTACAGCATCGCGCTCTATTCGCTCGTCAAGAACCTGGCTTGAGGCGACCGCGTGGTGGTCAGTCTTCCACTTGGTGACAACACATGAAATTGCTGACGTCGTATCTAGCCGATGTTGGCTCCGTACATTTTCCAGGACGGGGACCCAAAGATGAGGAATGCCAATGGCTTAACACGCTTGAAGACATGGTCCGCAACCGGAATCAGTGGAAGAATTGTGTACAGTATTGTATTGATTCACATGTTTAGTACTTCAAACATTGAAAATGACAAAAAAGAGAAAAATCGGCGTGTGAAAAACAAACTAAAATGTTTTGTTCTACTTTTTTGTCAAAATGTTACTTTCTTCCTGCGGCATAGTAGCTGAAGTGTGTTGCTCATCTTCAACTAGCATGCCACGACGATTATGACGCAGTGAGTCCCCCTTATCTGCTAATCTCCATGGCTTTGTTGGCTCTATGTTTAGTTGCTAGACTGTTGATATTACGTACATGCACAGGTTCATGCGTGAACACAAAGGAACATTAATTACGCGAAGGCCAATTGGAAAACACTCAGTTACCGTCTTTGATCGAGGTTTACGAGCAAGAGAAGGGTTTGCCGTGGCAGATGCTGCTTATACAATTCAGTTGCATTTGCGTAATAAAAATGTGGTCTGAACATCGTCTAGTCACCTAACTTCTTATTCGTTGCCAGCAAATTGCTGATTTTCTACTTAGAATACAATGTGCAAAGTTCGGCTTGTAAAACGTCCATTTAAGCTTGCAAAATGAACAATGGGGCTTGTCATACGTAAATTTAAAGCGAAAATAGTATATATATATATATATATATATATATATATATATATTGAGGTTCATCACAGCCAGCTTCCAAATCAGACAGTCGTCCACATGCCCGGAAAAGCACGAGATTGCAGTTTCAGTCTGTTGGGCATCATCAGTAATACGCATCCATCGGATCCATCAGGATTCGAGCCCATGACCACCAGCGTCTTGCACCGCCGATCAGCAGCTATCCCCAGTGGCTAACTGGCGGTGCAAGCCGCTGATGGTCATGGAGTCAGAAACCGAAGAGCGCGCGATTGAGTGTTGGTGCGATGAAAGTGCACCGCATCCTGTTTCATTTATTCACTCAGGCGGTAAACGCGGTAGGTGAGCCACACCTCTTCGCTGCAGTTAAAATGTAGCCGTGTCCATGAGCTTGTGCTGTCTGACCGCATTCAATAAATGATATCCCCCAGGACTAACTGCACCTTATCCGGCGTATAGTAGTCGAATGCCGCCACCCTCCAGTTCACCGCGAACCGTCGGCGGGGGATGCACACTGTCTTCGTGATAGTGTTAAGCGCAATGAGTGGTTCCACCCGGTGTGCAGTTGAACCATCGCCACCACCACCACCGCCACTCTGTGTACGCGTCTGGTATGTGTGTTTCGCCAAATTTCACATGAATGATGTGCATGCAGAAAGGAATGCGGAACCAGGTCCGCCGAATCAAATATGGCTCCCACCCACATGCGGCCGGTTTTAATCTGCGGGGTTTACACTGCATATGGGTGTGCGTGTGTGTGTACGGATCTACGGGTGGTGCATTGCAAACCATCTATGGTGCCCCTGTGGGCACTGGCATCCTGTGGGCTGTTCGCAGTCATCCTGACAGATGAGTCCGTAAACACATACCATCAATCATATGGGGTTATGCGACATCCTTAAGCGAAATTCGTTACCCGCATAACACACGAATTTCAAGTTGTTTCGATGCTAACGATCTAAGTTTCCATCATGGGTGAAAGAAAATTCGAAAAATATGTCAATATCCGCTTGCCAGTGACAGTCGCAATTGTAAGGAATAAGGCAGCTTCCGAGAAAAAAAGTCCTGCTCGGAGAATCATCGATCTTCATCCACATTCCAAGCCACAAATATCCTCCACATTTACCATATAGTTTTAAACAACACAAACTAAGTCATCTCCAAAAAAGCAATAGACGGACGTGATGCACGCCCGAAAAAGACGTGCAATGATAATGCGGCAAAATAAGGAAGAATGGGAAACTGGTTTCGACAAACAAACGTACAAATGAAATTATGCCATGGGTCTCGTGGAACAAAAACGTTTAAACAGTCTCTCACCTCGGGAGCGATGTAGTCGGGGGTGCCACAAAACGTAGAGGTGGTCTTCCCCGATGTCATGCCTTCTTTACACATGCCGAAATCGGCCAGTTTGCAGTGACCTTCCGCGTCGAGAAGAATGTTGTCCAGCTTTAAATCGCGATACACAATAGAATGTTTGTGAAGAAACATGAGGGCTAAGGTAACCTCAGCAGCGTAGAAGCGAGCACGAGCCTCATCGAAACGTCTGGCACGTTGAATCTGGAACATAAGGTCGCCACCGTTCACATATTCCATAACGAAGAAAAGGCGGTCCTGGTAAAGAAACAATGGGAGGGGATATGTGGAGGTGGGTTAGACAACTTCAGTCTTGTGCAGTGGCTAATATGGCTGACATAAATCAAGTAATCATAGCAATAATGAAAGAACAAAGAAACAAAAACGGAAACCAAAAGTCGGGAAACTAGAAACAAATAGATTAAAAAATGGAAATGCTGAACCGAAGGACCAGGGATTGAAAACAGAGGCACTATCATCAACGATCATCCACACAGCATCGACACATTAATGACGAGGCATCTGGGAGAGATTCAAATCACTGAGGGTGCAGATGCTGTGACCACCAATCAGAAAGCTAGTGCGTACAGTTAAACAGGCATGCCTGATGCAGTAAAGTCGATCCCGTGTGACACAATACGAAATTGCAATCAAAGCGGGGCAATTGCTCACAGGGAGAGCACGAATGTCCGGTCGCCACGCTAAGAAAGAGCACCACTAGTACACCGACACACAGCACCGACGCTTCGCTGCGACGCGACCACCACCAGTCGCACGTGGTATGGATGTACCGCGAGGTCGCCGGCATTTACGTGGATTCGAACCGGAGACCTCCGGATTCCAAAGCAAGCGCCTAACTCTTTCAGCCGCCGGCCGACGTGGTGTTGTAAACACGGCCAGCGAGCAGGCAAGGTAGCTGTGGTCAACCTAGGTTAGATGAAGCGGCGATCTCGGGCTCATCAAACGATGAGCTGGACACCGGACCGGTGAAGCTGGATAGGAGCCCAATCTTCCTAAAAGGCTTGTGTGACTTCGCGAAACGAAGCTACAAAAGATTACAATGCGCCTATTATCAGCAGCTTGTGAAAGAGAGAAGGTACAATGGTTAACGAGCATTCAATTCTAGCCTGGCACCTTGGCTTGTGACGAACTACAACTGTAGCCTAACCGAAGTGAGAAAACAAAGAGAATACTGAATACCGGTTAGAAACAGCGAGTAGAACTTGCTCTGTGTAGCTGCATCGGTCGTCACTCATGGACAAATACTCGTTATACTGTGTTGCGCTCAATATATTTTGCGTCGGCAAAGTGTTTGTCCAGGAACTTCTTAAATTCCGACACTGACTTTGCCTCAACTACGTGCTACGGCAGGTCGTTCCATACATTCACCACTCTGCGTTCGAAACAGAGTTGGTGAGCGACCCGCTTCAAATCCGGTACGACAAGCTTATACCGGTGTCCTCGTGTGCTGCTTGGTGTGCGCAGATGAAGCAGTGGTCTCAACATAGGGTAATCACCCAGATGTAATATCCGGTGAGTCATGATGAGGTCAACCCACATTCGACGATAAGCTAGGGTGTACAGCCCTAGTTTCTTACACCGGTCTTTGTACGGCACACCACGTAAGTTGGGAATCAGCCTGGTGGCTACATGCTGCACTCACTCAATCTTTTCTACCTCGCCCCGGATGATAGGACAATACGCGGGAGAGCCATACTCTAGCATTAGTCGTATTATTGAGACGAAGAGGAGAGTGACAATCTCTTCGGACCAAGTGCTGAAGCTGCGCCTGAGCGCCCAAAGCATACGAAGGCTGTTTTGGTAAAGCCTATTCGCGTTGTCCATGGACTTTAGGTCGTAGCGTGAGAGTACATCGAGGTCGCGCACAAAAGGCGCGGGATGCAACGGTTGACCAGCCACCGTGTATGTTCGACTGTGCTCACACTTACCCAGCCTCATGAATTGTGACTTGACCGAGATGATCGGAAGGTTGACCTCTGCAGACCACGTGGAGAGGCGGTCGAGGTCCTGCTGAAGCAAATCACAATCACTGGGTGTTCGGATTACTCTTCACACCTTCAAGTCATCTGAGAGATGGAAATCTCAAACACCACCGTACTATCTAGATTCAGGCGATAGCGGCGGTGTCCAGATGGTGGATGATAAGCTCGGACTATTCATTCTGACAGGGGGAAGTTATTAGAGCTGTCCCACATTTAATCTATGACCCAATAGTCGAAGCCACAAAACAGCGGGAAGCGCACCCAACTCCGGAGTGTGAGCACAGGGCTCATTAGGATCTGCACGTAGTCTGCCTCTTGCAGCCCTGAGAGATTTAGAATTCATGTGCGCTGTTTGATCGATGTATACCACACATTTGTGACCACGACAACCAGTAGCAGATAGGAGTTAGCAGATCTGCATTTTTTCATCATGGGTTTCTTGGTTGGAGGAGGCGGATGATAAAAACCAAGGGTGGCGCTCTCCTATCGTCAGAAACAACGCATCGCGTGCCAGTCGAGCTAGTAGTAAAACCCGTGGTTAAGTTTTACAGGAAAACAGGCATCGGACTCTCCACCAACCTCCGAGGAACAGAATGATGAGAATGGGTTTTGTCTGATCCCTAACCATTAATCTGTCTGACAAGAGTGCCCTCGAAGACTAACGGAAAGTGCCGCATAGCAAACAAATCATCGCACTACGTCCAGTTGGTCTGGAACGCAAAAGGCGTCCAAGCCATTGTGGACACACAAGAGTGGGGTATTTTAGCTCAATCAACTAACCAGGATATAGGTTGTCCAATTGCGAGTGACCCTACCGATCACACACACGTCGCAATGATAGATGACAGTGAGGGCGAAACCATGCAATCATCGGCTGAAAGAAAAAAATAGTAAGGAGACATTGAATAAGCAGGAGAGGTTTCGAGATTATAATTGCGCTACTTCAGAAATGACTTCCATCTGTGGATTTAGGCCACCCCAATGGTCCATAAGCCAAGAGCACAGCGCCCGCCAACGCGATTTAATCGTTAAACCGCCTTCTCCGTGTGCTTTTCGTCGTATCATTTAAGGACCCTACCTAACATCATCACAGGGAAACATTGGTCACAGGGGCAACAGGTGACATGCGTATCTGACAAATGTGGTGGTTCGCCAGCCGAACACCAGCCTATCTTACCACGTATTTGCGCATGGCTAAGGAAATAGGCATTCGCAAAGTACATCTCAATTTCTGAAGGTTTTGAATACAAATCGGTTTTGGTAGGGTTTTATTGTGGCAACGTTTCGTCCTTGACACAAGAGCTTCTTCAGGGCAGGTGAATTGGTACAAAATTGGCTTGGCGTTTTATGGCAAGGTTGAAAGACATAACATGAACCATTGGATAATAGTGTTACAGGTCAATAGGTCAAGTGGCCATGCTAGTGAAACAACAAGCATCGAGCGTTTCTCATTGATCCACGTCACCGATCGTTCAAATGTGAGGCATTCCTTTCTGGCAGCTGCTGATTCACGCTCCGACCTGAGTTCGTCCGCCGACACCTTTTCTGACTGGCCGGGTTAACACAGCCCGCCACACGTTCGATAACTCCATCTTGTCTGTTCTGTTCACACAGTTATTAGTCTTAGTAATCTCGATCGCCTCAGCAATCAACCTTTGGTTTGTTGCTGGTAATCCCCTCCTAAGTATCTCGACATTGTCCCAATCAATCGCGTGTCCTGCCTCTAGCGCATGTACGGCCACCGCTGAATCTTTTAGTAGGGCACTGTATTCAGGCTCATTTCTCGGTGGACGCGAAACGTACCTCTTGTTTCTGCTATCCTCGTGCGTAGCTCTCTCGCTGTTTGACCTATATACACGTGTTCACAGTCTTTGCAGCTGATTTTATAAACACAATTTGTCGTCCTGTCTCTTGGAAGTGGATCCTTCAAACACACAAGTGCTGAATAGAGCTTTTGACCCTTTCGAAAAACCACTCTTATTTTCTCCACGTTTAGTACTCGTCTGATTGCTTCTGGGGTTCCCTTTTTTATAGGGGATTCCCACCGTCCCAATCCACTCCGTTGTGCGTCGTGGAGGTGGATTGAGAGCTCTCTGGAACTGCGATTTCACTAACCGCCTCGGTGAGGTGATGATAATAGCCTGGATACGAGTAGGTAACTGCGAAAATAAAAACGTATAAAGTCCTTAAAAGAGTGAGCACTATTCCCACGGGAGTGGAGGTGCAACCAAGCTCAGAAATATGGCGAACCGGAAGTGACTGCATGGCGAACGGGTGACAAGGAATCTCAGCAATCGCAGGCTGCAGAAGAAAAAAACAAAAACAATCGGAAGGACATGGCTGGAGTAGAGTTTGCGTCATTGGTGGAACGGACAGTGATGTAAAATATCACTGGCAATTGGTATTGTCTAGCTAATTGATAAACAAAACCGGTGGAGTCGAGCGTGGCATGTCCGTCCACTTTTAGTCAATGCAAGAAAAGTGTAATTGCTTGAAAGGGACGGGAGCGGACGCAGAAACGTGAGGTGAGGGGGTAGTGATGGATTAAATAGTTTCACTTTCGAACCGTTAATTGAGGCGGTAAGCGGATTGAAAAGTGGGCTAATTATGTGCGGATGTGGTTATGTCCGATCTCACACCGTATCCAGCAGCATGAAAGGATTTTGTCTGGTGCTCCACGATCGCCGCATCCAACATGCTCGACTACAGGACCGTAGGTACGAATAATTGTCGTTTTAACTGAGGCATTATTTCTACGGGTGCACAGTGCTGCAACAAGGACCGGTGTACAATCTGATGTCCATTGCGAGTGAGATATCGAAAAACTCGAAAGACCCATGGTGGCATCGCATAAGATCAATCGCCTAGAGGAACGACAAGAACGTTGACGATCAGCAGAGCATTGAAGCAATGGGTTATAAAGGATAAAAGAGCGAATGATTGACAAGTCTAGTAGGACGGTTAGGGTGAAAATTACAAGATGAAGACAGTGTTAATAAAAGTGCACGTTGCTATTACGCCGATCATGAGTTCCTCGTTTGTAAACACAAAGTCCAAGATGGCCGATCTGTTTTTGTAACACCTTGGAGAAGTGACATGAGTGTACAGCGATGAACCAGCGAGTACCCCGCACACCTCCGCCTTGAATTACTCACCGAAAATGGCCGGGGCTTCTAGGACGTGCAGGTTGAAACCCCATGCCAGCAGAAAGTGGCCGTAAGACCCTGCCAATAGGCTTTTCATGGCGCATGCTAG